AGCACTATCTGATCGCTGCCGAATGTACTATTTTCAAACTTGTGCGATTGAAATGTTTATTTTAATGAACAATTATTGAAACAATATCTCTTTTAAACTTTGTTTAGATTAAATTTTCACATTTAAATCAACGTTAGTCTGCGAAATCTATTAGAATCACTTGAAATTGAATAATCTCGGAAGAGTACATATCGTAGATTAGCCATTAGGTGACATAATTTTAAAAGGTCAAACGTTCTCAGGTTAACTAAATGCGTTAAATCTCTTATCAGACGAACATTCAAGTTCATAATACGTTAATATACCTATTGCATGTTCTTTTTTCTAGAATTTTATGATTTTAAATAATAAAATTCATCAAAGAAGAAAGTAAACTGAAAGAAAGTTGTTACATCTTACGTTATTAAACATATGAGATTTATTCAATCGGTGAGTCAAAAAGACGTTTTGTTTTAGCACACATAAATTTTTATTGTTCATTACCGAAACCTATTTACGGAAATACTGAATATTGGGAAAAAAAAATATAACAAACTCATTCCACCGTGCCGTTGCGAACGCAAATTTAAAATCACGTGCGAAATCGCGGCTTCGTCCGAAAATTGCGCGTCGCGAAAATCCATCCTGTCATGTACGGTCCATCTCGTCCGGTTCTCGCTGATGTTTGTTAATCGCGCGAAGAGACGGAAGATTTATGTATACCGGGGACTGGGAAATTGATAGCCCGGTTATACAGCCATCGGCACACGTGATTATCCTTGAAAATACCGTTATTTCACAGACTTCTCTCGCTATCCGCCTTGCGGCAAACGGCCGGCCACGTTTCTCCTTCTCGTTCGTTTCGGAGGCGATGCATACGCGCACGTACGCGGAGCAATTACGCTTATTGACGATTCCGCGAGACAAACTGAGGATCAGCTCTCTCTCCAGCCTCCCCGGCCAGGCTATCGCGATTTCGCTTCGGTATCATGTGTGTATAATTACCTTCGTTACGTGCGTACGCGTACGTATTGTGGGAGAAAAACACGCGATTCCTTTCGCACTGCTTAGCGCAATACCGGATAATTATTAAATTTCGCATTGATATCGCCGGCTATAAATTCGAAACACAATAGTGCTGATGTGTGAATCATTATTTCCACGTCGCCATATTACGTATCTTCATCGAGGTAAATATCGGAATTGTAAGTGCGCGATGTCGTGCGTCGCACGTGTGTGCGTCATTGGAATATGCGTGTATCAAAGTTAAAACGGGGACAAAAGGATGGACGCGACCCATGAAGTTCGACGTACAGGCACGATCGCGATAACTTTGACACCGACGTTATCACGACGCCAAAGTTATCGGAATCAAACATTCGCGTTTAATTATACGAATGATAAATAAAACGATTCCCTTGTACTCCCATCGTTCCTCTCTGCGTATTCAAAATTCTCCGACTCGTTCTAACATGCTTCCAAATGATAAATTCAGTGACACCAGGCGCTACGTATTCAGGGACTTTCGCACGACGCCATGTTTCTCCGGTGTCGGGTGGGAATTGCGATATTTCACTCATTAAGAATTTCCATCCTCGCGTGGCCGAGGATGAAAAATGGCTTGATTTTCTCGCGCATATTGCACGCCCCTCAGAGCGACGGCCCTTCGTCTCTCGCGCGCGTGTGCAATAAATAAAGCGACGGTCGCAGTAATTTCACAGCCACGCGCGATTGGAAGCTTCGACGCTTCGTCCCCACGTCGACATCAATTATTCGTAGTTATTTTTTGCTGAATGCGGCGTTCTATACATTACGNGGGGGGGGGGGGGGAATAGGCGAGTACAGGTGTGTTCATTATGCAGAATTGCGCGTCGCGAAAATAGACATCGTTCCCGTTTCGTTTCGCTATGGAGTGCCGCAACTCACCCTCGTCCCGTCGGAAATTAATTAAATATCGCGCACTCGGGAGCGTAGATCCTTGTGTAATTAAATTCGAGAATTTTTGTTCGCTTCGACGTTGAACGGGAAAGGTTGGCCGAGAACAAGGCTACGTCTGTATTCCAACCGCATCTGTTTCGCGATTCTCTCTCTGTCTCTTTTAGCGCGACATGACCTCTTGTCTGTCGTGCTTCCAAGTCACGCGCGTTCGAAATAACGTAATCTGGGAGACCAATACTCGCCAATTAATATTCCGTATCGGGTTACCGGGTGGATCGGCACGAGACCCTGGCCCGTCACTGCGTACTTTCACGTGATACGATGCGCATTGCGCAACGCAAAACTCGAGTTAGAATTTCATCGGTTGGACTGACATCCGAGATGAAGGGAGAACGACGAAAAGATCGGTGGGGAGGGGTGACTATCGAGCGATGACTGGGAAAAAGAAGAAGGCAACCTTGCTCACCGTTTCCGTCTGGCTGAGATCCAATTCGAGGAATAATTGTTTTTTGCGCGGGACGGTAAAAGTGAAAGGTCTTTCGCGTTCGATTCGTCTGAGACGACGTGCTGGGAACGAGATGTTGCTTCGTAACGAAATCAAATGTCGAAATTTACATCACATGGTTGTTTATATTAACTTGACGATATTAAGGCTCGTAATTTTTCGATAATTGCGACATTTGGCTCGCATCTGGAAACTAGTCTCGATTTCTTCGTGAATAACAGATGCCCCCGGGTCGACGCGAAAGTGATTCTATCGGAGAAACACAAGCGAGATTCCCTTTGATTTCTTTTAAACTTGGCGGCTTCCTTCACGAGGCAAACTCGCGCGAAAAATACAACGCCTCGGCCCACGCGCGTATCTCTTTACGTAAAGACGCAGAAAATGCATTCCGCGGACGATGCTCGCGCTTTGAAAATTTTCAAGACGAGCGCCTCTCAGAGATCGCGCGGGGCACACGCGCTTTGCGAATTTTTCAATCACGTTTCGCGCTGACAGGATTAATAAAGCGCCCCGTGCTCCGTTCCGCGCTGCGCCGCAACGCGGAGGGAGGCGGACAGAGTTTCCAGACTCATTTCATGCAGAATCGAATTGGATTTCCAGGTCGGGGTCGGTGTATAACTGTGTGTAACCCACGCGCGCACGAGAGAGAGAGAGAGAGAGTAATATGGCCGGGACGCGCGTCCCTTTGATGTGCGCCGGCTTGGAGAGCCGCGCGACGCTCTTTCAACGGGCTCGCTGCACTTTGTTACATCGACGCTAAATAATCGGTTTATAAAAATTCATGGCGAGTCTAGTGAGGCGGGTTTATATCCGGCACCACTCCGAGCCACACGTTTCCCTCCACGCCACTCCACACCCCCGTCACATCTCGTACACCGCAATATCCACCAGCCGGACGATGTGACGAAAGCTCGCGAATTAAAAAGTGGACGAGAGTACTCGTCGCGCAGGGCGTGCCGGAGAATACCCACGGGGTGAACGAGGTCGGGTGATATTGAAGAAAAAATTACGCGGCACGTGTGGTTTGTTTAATCCCTCGGAAAAAAAAAAAAGAGATCAGAGGGATTCGGATTTCGATTGGGTTGATTCGAAATCCGTTACGTGTAGCGGAAAGTAAAATTCTATCCGTCGGATCGCGACGTAGGATAACGGTCAGTGTTTGTCGTGCAAAAAATTCAGCGTCGATGTTCCCTTTTAATTTGCCGCGTGCAAATGCACACCGCGCGATGTGGCGAATTTAACAATGATAGAATTATTCACACAGAAACTATATACGTAGTACGTTGCGGACCAAGATAGCGGTATCTCATGGACCAACTGCTCCCGTGGGAGAACGCGCCGCGCTGTACGGCGGATAAATAGACCCCATTGTTGCTTCTGATGAGATACGCACGTTTTTAGAATGCCTCGCGAATGAAGTTCAAAACCGCGCGCAAGTAATTATTCATTCACGCCGGTAGAAACAACGTACGGGACGCGGGGGGGACGCGGATATTTCGCGGAGCGACGTGGCGCGGATGTCGAGAATCCGGAAATTTTCAGTCCCGAACGCAGTCCTCCCCTCCTCGTCTCGACGGTAGAGCGCAACGAGACAGAAGAGAGATGAATCGAGAAAGAATTCACCCTCTATACGTTCCGGTTTCGCCCCCGCACGAAATACACCTCTAATCGACCTCTCGAAAAGCGACCGCGCATCGTTATATCCGCGGCGCAATGCACACTCCCCGTCTGAATCTCCACCCTCGTCCTCGGGACGTGCGAGGTAACGCGCGTACTGCGCTCCACGCAGGTGAAATTAAATTAGAAGGAAAATATTCGGGGAGAGAGAGAGAGAAAGAGAGCGGGCTGGCCAGCGCTTTTGCACGCGCGGCGAGATGGCAAGAATAAAGGTACGCTCGTGTGCGTGCGTAGTACGTAGAGAACACGTATATACATGTATCGGCACACTCTCGCGACCGGGGTATATTCGCGTTGGCACGTTCGAGTGGCGGAACCACTAAAAACGTACCGATCCTCCTCTATCTCGCTAGACTCAACCTTCAACCCTCGAGAACGGTCTCCGTCCTCCCCTTTCCACGATTCGTGTCTCCGTCGAGTGTACCGGGATATTTCAGAGACGTACCCGCGTTATCTCTCATTCTCTCCTCACATTCTGCCGCGCCCATGTTATCCGCGACGATATCGTATCGAGGACGCAACCCCGAGTTGAAATTTTGGTTCCGCATTCATATTTCGGACGGTTCTTTGCGCGACGATTTTAACACATTCAGGAAAAACAAGGAGAAACAAACGTCCTGACTTGTATTGTTACACTGAAAGGAAAAGGTACTTTTAATTAATTACTCAAATTTACTTTTAATTAATTTACTCCAATACTCCTTGACAAATATTGATTTAAATAAGGCACTTTTTTCTGTCAGTGTACTGTTGTAAATATTAACTTGCGTGTCATCAAAGATATAAAGCAGGAGATTCGATGACAAAATAATTTCAACACAGAATGTTACAAGCTACGAACTGAGACAGCGGAATCGATATGAAAAAGGACGATAAAGAACGAAGCTTTTTTTTTTCTCAGTTGCAGTGTTGTTATCAATGCAAAGCTGCGGAGCATCGCCGACGGAGCCGAACGTGACTAGCGCTATTTCGGAGGATGACGGGGAGGAACTATTGGCAAACATGAACCTGACGTTATTCAAGGAGAGATTCCGAAGATTGATACCCTACATGACTTTTTACGTCGCCAACAACTATGTGAACGGGCAGGCCGCGCTGGCGCAAAATTATGCGAAGGAGCTCCCGGTCACCCTGTTCCGAAAAACTCCGCAGCAACAACAACAGCTGCAGCAGCATTTGCAGCACTCTTTGCTACGGATAGCCGGCATCCCGAGGAGAGGCGGCGGTAACAAGTATCGCGTCGTTCCTGCTAACCAGGACGCAAAGTTCATCCCGTCCGTGCAATTCGATCCCAGGAACGTCGGCGGCGACAACGACTATTTCTCGCCGGTCAAGTACAACGCCAAGATCAACTACGCGGAATATTCGACGTCAGCTTATCCGCAAGTCTATCAGATCCAAAAGACCTATCCCGAGATCACCACGCCCTCCAATCTGATCCTGCACAAGGAGAATCGATACTACGCGAGACCGCTGCGGCCGCCTGCGAGGGAGCATTTGCTGAAGAAACCGGTAATCGGCGGCTCGCAGGACGAATACGATCAGGATTACACGGTGAGACCGGTTGCCGCCTTTAATTACCCGAGCAATGAATTTGAAAGGGTGAGATACATCCCGTCGTCGGTGCAGCAACCGGTGAAGCAGCAGTATGAGACGGCCGAGAGGAAGCCGTCGTTCATCTCGCCGGTTTACCGAAAGCCGAGCGTCAATCTGAACAACCTAATCGAAAGCTTCCAATTGTCCGAACGACTGCCGGAGAGGCTGGACAAAGACAACATTGACAATAGCATAAAGGCGCTCGTGGAGATCCTCAGTATCCTGCACAATTCGCGAAAGGAGGACTTCCCGCAGCCACAAGGGCCGTCGTCGTCACCGTTGCCGCCCCGATTGAACGGCTACGACAATTACAAGCCCAAGACGTATACGCGGCCGAAAGTGATCACGGAGACGAAGTTCCAGGTGACGCCGAATCCTCTGTATTTCACCGAGGACCCCGAGCAATACAAGGCGACGGACTACGTGGACGACGCGCCGATCAAGACGCCGGTACAGCCTGATTACAATCACGTGAAGGACGAGAAGGTGGAATACTACGTGCCCTACGTTCAGGATATCTCCAACGACGCGAAGCATAGGTTCAGGCCGACCGTGAGACCCGATGAATCCACCGATCACTCCTACGAGATCACGGAAGACCTCAGCGACGACGTCCTGCAGGACGAACGGTACACCGTGCCGATTTCCACCGAGGTACCTCCGAAGAAGGACTACGTGGCGCCGAATGAAATTACATCGGGAACGAAGATGCCGAAAACGTCGGCAAAGTACGGCGCGACGCGCGGAAAACCGAACGTGGACTACCCGGCGTACGCGACCATACCGGAAACTTCCTTCAGTTGCAAGGAACAAAGGTACAAAGGATTCTTCGGCGATCCGGCCACCGGATGTCAAGTGAGTGTGGCGCTTGAAATTATTATAATTTTTAGGGCGATATTTATCATTCAATTTTACGTTTCAAATCATCTTGAATCTTTCACCTTACGAATTCGAAACGATTTAGATGTTAAGATTGAACTATGAACACGCCCATAGTGTCTGTTTGATGAAATTTCAAGTTACTGATATGAAAAGCGATTATAAAAAAATCAGAATCCTTGAAATATTTCTCGGATTATTTCGATTTTTTCCTTTGTTGTAATACTTGGAGACGCTCTTGTCTCGATTATAGCTGCGTTTTGATATTCACTACTACAGTTCACGTTATATTATAGATTTGCAGTGAATATCGGAACGCAGTCTGTAACATTCGCGAATTTTGACTTTCCGAGTTGATAACAATAACATTGTTTTCAGGTATGGCATTATTGCGACCTAAACGGCGGCAAGTCATCATTCTTATGTCCGAACGGTACGATATTCAGTCAGGTGGCGTTGACCTGCGACTGGTGGTTCAACGTGAAATGCGAGACGACCACTCAACTATATGTGCTGAACGAACGACTGTATAAGTACATTCTACCAATTATGCCGAAGTTCCCGGAGGATTTCACCGGCCCGGAAGTAGATCGATATTTGGAACTCAAGTTCAAAGAGATGGAGGCAAAAATGAAGGAGAAGAAGCTGAAGAAGCAGCAAGAAGAGAAGAATAAACACAAGGGAAAGCCGCAAACGACGGACGACGACGACGACGACGAGTAGACGCATATAGCGTTATGTGTTAAATAACTTAGTTTTTACATATGACACACTGTATGTGTCTCGTTGCCATTATGATAAATGAACAGCAAAAACCCATCGTGGGTTGCGAAGCTGCTTCGCAATCCCGAAAAAGTGCAATATGTGTATGATAGAGTTATATGTGATTTAATGATAGAGAGGATCGCGTGTAAAAAGTAAGTTAGATTATCGCGATCGCTATGTACGGGTATGAAATGGCTGATGATATATTAGGTATTTCTTGTACTCCCTCTAGTCATATGCGTATTGTGTACTATTTATAACCGAAAGTGCTCGCCCGTTTGGCGAAGCGCTATCTCTTTCGATCTACGCCTGACGAATCGCCTAGTACTGTGTATTATCGCAGTTGTGCGCAACGTCGAGTCGCATAACTTTCGTATCTCAACGGAAAATGACGTAAATAGTAATAGTGGAAGTACGCGCGATGCGCGCCGAGAGTATAATCAATATCTTCACCGCGTATACTATATCGTCCGTAAAAAATGTCGAATAGGTTTCGCCATTTGTTCATAAGTATATCAATACATATATATCATATTATATAGTATATGTAACCACATATTTTCTCTGTGGCGATCGATACGGAAAATATATCGCGATGTTATATTTAGTAAACGTTTCAACCTAAAGTATGCATTTCCTTGATATATCTGCGAGTATATGACTCGAGTATCCACTTATAATTTATCACTGAATAATCTTGAATATTATTAAAGAATCAAATATAGTTCTGTCTACGTGTACCTAATATTTTACTAAAATTGTTAATAAATTTATTTATTGATTACTTTCTTTCTAACACATACTCGCCTCGTATCAATTGTATGAACGGTTTTCTGGCTAATAAAAATATTTGTTGAAAATGGGTACTCACCTGTTTCACCTGGGTGACCCTTTGCAAATTCTCGATGATTTTCTGATTGACCTCGTTGAACTCAGCCATCATGTCCTCGTTCTGTAAAAGAAATTCCGCAGATTAATTAAATACTACATAACAACGTGCAACTAATTTGCTGTAATTCAAATACTAACCTTCTTTTGTAACGTGATATAACTGTGCATTTTATGCTTTAGCAACATGCAATTTGAACAGCCAGATATGTTACAGTCATTGCAAAAATAGCTTAATGATTCAGAGCATGTTGGTAAACAACTGTTTGTAATCTGACAGAAATTTCCATCTTCCTCTTTAACTAGTAAGATTTGCGTGTGGTTCTGCAATGCTCTTCCATGAATCTACAAAATAGAATGGAAATTACAAGACGTTATTACCAATGTGCTTAACTAATAAACATCATATTTTATTTAAAAAAAAAGCATCAAATTACTTTAGAGTAGCAGCTGGAACAAAAGAGAACCATACATTGCACACACTTAACAGAAGCAGAATTCCCACATTCATGACAATATCCTACAAGCAAACGAAACTGTTAAATTTTCTCCTCAATCACTTTGGCAAATATATTTAGTCTGTTATTAAGTTCCAAGTCTAACCTTGGGTTTTAATTTGCCGTAACCGTACAGCCAGCTTATGACAAAATGCAAAATCTTCATCATCATTTTCTGCTGGGCGCTGCTGGCTTGATGAAACAAGTAGGCCCAGAGTATATAAGTTCAATGGGAGTTTTTTAATATTATCTTTCACATTAGTTTTGCATAAAGGACAAGATATAGTTTTCTTTTTCACACATCCACTGCAAATGGGATGCCCACAAGGTAATACCAAAGGAATTAAGGATCCAGTCAGCAACGATTTGTCTGTAACTATTTGGATTAAACAAATTATCTTTAGTAATTTACCTCACAATATTAAAGTGTTATAATTGTACAAGCTATATGTATATAAATGTACAAGATATATATATCTTTATGTTGTATAATAATACAGAAGGACAATATATAAATATATGCATCTTTTATTAAAATATTCTACGTATGTCAGATATAATTATATATAATATATATATATATATTTACATGCAAGAAATATTATCTATAAGAATGTTATATATAATCAATCAAAATAAAACTCTTACTAAAAGATATGAAACTTCTTTAACTGTGAGTACATAGAATCAAATATTTAAACATTTCGTTTACGATTTAATCATCTGCATATGTCTATTTTCATCAAAGCATCGAATGAATGTGAGAAAAGCACTAAATTATCACCCGAACTATAAGCATTTCATGCTACAGGGCAACTTGGAAGAGACACATGGAATCCTAACCTCTCCGGCGCGTGCCGGCCTTTTTCACTCTGTGTATTTATCGATTAAATCGTAACTAACATCTAACATTCACGAACTTCGTCATGATCGGCATTGTACACGGCGTCGTACAAACTTCGACGACACACATACGTTGTGCATTTCTTCACAAAGATACGCCGATATTACGAAAAAAACACCGGCGTGTGCGAATCAATAGTGGCGTTGCGCGGTGATATCGTCACGCACTAAGGATAAAAGGACGAATAAAAGTTGACAAGCGCAATTACTTGGTACGTAGAACTTGTGGCTGCAGGAGACACACGTAACATGCTTGGACTTCGTTTTGGGGATGTTGAAGCACGTAAAGAAAGACGATGACGCCTTGCTGTTGGGCACGAATGCTCTCACACGTGATGGCATCGACATCGTGATAATTCATACACAGTGCAGGAAAGCGTGTGTACTTGCCAATTTTCACACGTTCGTCAAAGCTCGCGAACACTTTTCGACGTATATCGCGACGGACAACGACGACTCACACCGACGACAGTATCGCGCCCGTTCGAACAAACAACTGTCCTTCTCAGCTTCCCTACCCGTCAGCACTCGCTCGCGCTCCTTATCTTTGCCGGCCGCTGTATTTACTCGGATGATCGCGCCAATTGAAATCGTGCGTCCACCTGCTCTTGTCGGTTAAAATTGCTTATCAACAAGGATTCCCAGATAAGGTCATCGCGTAAAGCGTTTGTAATAAGCGAGCATTTCTGACGCAATGAACTTTTTTTGTCTCGTAGTGTCCGGTTAAATAAATTTTAAAATGGCGGTAAAGTACAACGGAAAATGAATTAGCGTCGCACTTTGCGTATTTGCGAGCTCTAGGTCTGTTCTTTATAACTGAACTGGTTGCACTAGTTTTACTTTCTTTTTTTTTTTATACAAAATCACAGCTATATATCTGTTTCTTTTTAAGTTCCGAAAATATGTACTGATTAGTGACAGATTCTGTTTCACTCCGAGCTGCTTTCTAAAATATCACTCAACGAGTAGAGTAGTACTTAATTAGCCAATCAGAAAGAACAACGTTTTCTTTATTGTGATTGGTTAATCCGAAACAGTTTATGTCGCGAAAGACGAATCAGTTGACAAAAAAATCGACACACGAATATTCTTAATATGTGGCATTGGATAAATGACGAATGTACGAGTGATCGTTTCGCGTTATCGGTGTGCCATCATTTGTTAGGATTGTATTTGGTTGCGTTCAGAACACACAATGGTTGTACATGCAACGGTTGAGTAATTTGTCAGCATAATTGATCTAAATTTAGGAATCTAACAGTAAAGGCCAATAATCACTGACCGCTAATTCTGATCGCCTGTGTTTTCTGAACGTAGCCTTTGTTATTCTGGCCTTTGACATTGGGAATTGCCTTGTAAAATTCGCAAAATTACCTGCGCAATTTCAACGACGCAGTACACTTCCGACATATTGCCTCCTAAAAGAACGTCTTGATCGAGAAATGCGAAGCGGTTTACTTCGATATATCGATCGAACTATAAGAACGATACGAGACTAAACAATCGACTAATTTTGCAACGATCAAATTCAAGATGGTTCCCCCACCAAGGAAGTAAGTAAAATTCTCCGCAATTACGACCGTTATTGCGTGTTATAGATAATTCTCCGGTCACAATGACGGCATATTATTCAATCGTATTCATTATTGTATCGTTATCGATAACGTCGGTGGTCAATGATGCTCTCTGAGACGCGAGATCTCAATCGAACTTCGGCGAGGGAACAATCGTCACTCGCTATCTCGTTCTAACTAAATAGTTGAGCTTGCTCGACATCGATTTGGCTTCAACGGACTCGCGTTCCGTCGTTGCGAAAACGATCCGCATACAAGCGACGTTGGAGATCGGCGTGAGATTAATTTTCCCGATTGATCCGCAGTATCGATCCGACAAATCGGCGATCCAACGAACGGTCTGCCCGGAGTCTCTCGACGGGGGAGAAGGTGCAATCAGCGTGCAACTTCGCGCCGAAGCAGCGGCTCGACGTGTGCTTCAAGCGACTGCTGCTGCCTATGGCGGACGATCGAAGCAGGTTTGGCGCGAACCGAGCGTTCGTCTACCACGTCGGGAAACGATCGTGCGGGCGAGGTTTACGCGCGATCGTTCGGAGCAACAGATGCCGCTGCGGTCTATGCTGTTCGTCTGGCTGCCGACGCGCGGCTTTGCCAAAAATGCAAAAAGGTAGGTAGGTAGCTAGGCAGATAAGCGACCGCGATAGAGGCTATGTCGGTTATATCCGCGTCTAGGCGCGGTCGCCGGCCGGTCCGTTATGATCCCACCCAATAGAAGCGCTCGCTCCAGCGAGCAGCAGACTCGCGAAGACGCGCACGGGATACTTTCCGCCTTCCTCGTCTCCGGCTGCTTTTGCTTCCGTGATATCGGCCGGCACTTTGCCACGCAACGCTGCGCTTTGGACCGGCCGGCGTGTCGGATAAAATACGCCCGACGACGACGGCGGGACGCCGCGCGCTAAAAGCCGCATGACGGACGTATTCTCGCGTCATTAATATCGCAGCGGCCGAATGCGTCGAATTCCCGCCCGCCCACCGTCGTCGACGGCGCGTCTCGCCGCCGTTGATCGATTGGCCCATTCCGCGCGAACCTAAGCCGGTGCTTCCCGAGGTGTTTCCCGCACTTCTCGAGCGCGAAGGAAACTTTTAAATTGAATTTTCGACAAATGGCGAATCAATAGTCAGCGAATCAATTTCCTCCGGACGAGAGCTGTCCGCGCGGAAGAAGCCGCGAATTACCGCGAAAGTGCCGGAATGATCGGCCCGCATTATCGGAGCGTCGTTTGTTAAGGCGCGACCGATATCGCGAAATGCAAAACAGGTGGATTCGTTTCGCCGCAGAGGCGAGGAAAAGAAGAGGAAACGTGCCATCCTGACGTCCGTCATCTCGCGCGCACACCGATCTCTCTCCGGCTGGGTAATCGGCGTGCGAGCGGCGGAAAACCAGCGCGTCCTTTATCTCGCGCGCGCGCTCTCTTTTACGTAATCGCGACGCGGAAGAGCGAGATGGTGGCGAGCGAGCGAGAGGCGCGATCCGTCGGTCGTCGTGTTGCTTGAAACAACAACCGCACGGCCTCTCTGGACTAGGCGAGCGTGAGCAGGCGAGCGAGCGAAAGAGCAGAGGCAAGGTCTAGGCTGGCTGGCATTCAAGGTCGTGTGCAGAGCGCAAAGCCCGGATCTATCCCCGCCCCAGATTTCTAGCGCCCTTCGCTCCTCTCTGTATCTTTCCCTCTCTCTCTATCCTCCCCCCTCCCGGGGACCTCTTTCTCATTGTCTTCCTCTCTCTCTCTCTTTCTCGCTCTGCCCTGTTTCCTTCTCGGCTCCTTCTCCCGCGACGTTCTCCGTCCCACTCGCGCGAACCGCGACCCGCGCAGCGCGTGCAACATCGATTTAGCCATAAAAATTCTCTGCGCTCGACTCTATCACTCGGCTATTATTTCCTGCCCGGGCTGCCGACGTGGAGCGTTTCGCTCCCGGAATTCTCCGCTCTGTAAATGCGCGCGACGAAGGAGGATCTTCTCTCCTCTCAGGTATCTGCGTATGGTATCGTCGGGGAACGAGGAAGTGTACGTTGAGCGCGCTGTACATTGTAACGCTTCTGCGTGTGTGTAGGTGCGCTCACGCAGCGAAGTAGCGACGGAGAGGCAAAGATAGATGATACACGGATAGAAATAAGAGAGAGAAAGAGAGAGAGGGGAGGGGAGATCGCGAAGATGCGCGCGTATACGCGATACACGTCGACTCTCTGTGTCGGGCTTTCATAAGGAAACGAACGGAAGCGAGACAAATAAGATGCCAGCTTCGCCAAGAGTCGACGGGTAATTCTCGCGCTCGCTCGCTCGCTCGCTCACTCGCTCGCTCGCTTACTTACTCGGGAGGATGAAAGGGCGTATCGGCTATTAGATCCCGTTACATACCACTACATAGACGAGACATTAGCGGCATTAGTCTCGTTCTACTCTCTTTCTGCCGTACATACCGCACGATTCTACGTTCAAAAATAGTCTTCGCGTCTACAGCGATTACACGTGGGAAAGAGAAGATACAGACATATGAGACGACGGGATACGCAATTTTAAGAGGACGTGGTGCATGATCTTTGCCTTTTTTCCGGGATATGCCGTAAAAATATCGAACGTGCCGCGGATACGTGTAATTTGTACTCGTATCATCGGATACACGTAAATTTCTATCTCTGCGGTCATTTATTATTAACTGATAGTTCATACACCTGTCTACGTACACAACACGGTCACCCGATACACATTATGGAATAATCTATGGCTATCCAAATATTCCGCAATATGCAGCTTTCTGAATATTTGTTCATATTGGCGTTATTTACCGTTGCGGATGAAGGTATAGGAGAAACGTATTGATTGCGGAGGAAAGAACCACGGCAAAATAATAGATAAAATTTTATTTTACATACATATCCGTATGCAATAAAGAGTAATAATATGAAAATATAATAGAGTAACGGTATCCAACATAACGTGGTACGCGTGACAGGATTATTAATGAGCACCCAGAGGTATATCCTTGGATCCAAAATGAGGATATATTCATTAATATTCACCACATCTACGCTGTTGTGAGTAAACACGCGTTGCTTGTTTGTGTTAAAATTATACAGTTAATTTGTACTCTCTTCCTCTACGTCTTATTTTCTTTCGCTCTCCGATCTAACAGCGACCTAGCAAAATTCAAGAGAGATCCTGCGTCTTTTACGCCGTGGACCCGGAAACGTTTTGCCTACGCGAAGAGACGGCTCTAAACAGCGGTATATAACTACGGTAGCCCGGCTGGGTTCTAAATTCAATTCCGTTGACCTAGATTAGGTGCTACGTGACACGATGGAAGTTTGCAGTTGACTCTCTTTCTCTCTCTCTCCCGTGTCCTCTCCTCCGCCTTTCTCTCGCTTTTACTAGCTTTCTCTCACGGTCTCTTTCTCTCTCTCTCTCTCTCTCTCTCTGAAACAGACGTCCGGCAGATACGTCGTTTCACGACGCGCGAACATAAATTAAAATGTAAACGAAAATTATGGTCCATGAATTCGGAATTAATAAACCGTAACTCATAACGCCTCAATTTTCATATATAATTGCATTCCACTTTTGAAAGGTTGTCCCCCGTGAGATTCCAAGGATCATCGAATCGGGAGATTTAAATTCCCTCGCTAAGATCCGTCGAGGAACCAAGTCGTTTCTCCTGGAGTTTTCCGGCTTATTGAGAGTCGCGCGACTCTTTCTGTAAGATCTAAACGTCCGAGAGGATTTCTCCTCTCGGAACCGTCATTGTCGTCGAGAGTATCGCGACGTGGAAAAGATTGGGGAGGGGGACTCGGGTTGGCGAGGCGGAAACAGGGGGAGAAATCGATGAATAATTTTGGAGTAGTGGACGGGCGAAAAGCCATCGATTGAAATTTTCATCAGCCTTTCGCGCGCGTACCCGCTCGATTATTTATTCACGGAATAACGAATGGGCGAGCGAACGGCCGCGACGAACGAGCGAACGAGCGAGTGAGCGAGCGAATGAACGAAGCGACGAGGAGATAAAAGGCGATGTCTAGAGTCGTTTGAGACATTATGGGCCGTTTACACGCCTTCGCTGTGAAACTTTAAAACGCATTTAAACCTCAGCACGCTCGGACATGAATCGAGAGAGGAATAATCTGTCGCATTGGGCGCACACTTCCTGATAACGCGCGCTCACCTTTATTTTCCGCGCGAAAACGCTGCGCTCGCGAAATGTATTTAATAATTAAGAGAGAAAAAGAGAGAGAGAGAGAGAGAGAGAGAAAAAATGACGAGCGTGCGGTTGACATTAATTCACATCGCGCACTTTCCGCCGTATAATATTTACCGCCGTTGGATATTACCACGCTCCGTGTTCCGATAGAAGCGAGCGTCGGAGCACGCTTTAAATTCATGCGGCAAAGCGCGAGTCCGTGAAAGGGCGGCGAATTTTATACGCGGTTTCGAACGGCGGAATCGCTCGGGCTTCGTGTTATATACGGGATTCGTTTTTGGCGAATCTCGAAACTCCTACGGGGCGAAAGAGCGAGAGAGGAACGGCAGCGCGCGGCGACCGCCGTCGCCGCTGCGAGATCCTGCCGACGAACGGTTTTGCGCAATCCCTGGCCTTCTCGTCCTCCTTTTCAGCAAATAGCTACCAAGCAAGAAATCTCCAACTCCGGATGTTGCGAGCGTATGGCGACGCGAATATTATATCTACGTGCAACCGCGACTAAGTAACAGCTTCTATCGGCGAAGATTAAATCTGCAGATTCGCAGAGCCGCGCCAATTGTCGCGTTTTCACCGTTGCTGAGACAAATACGGAGAGACAATTTTCGAGTGCTTGCTCGAAAACTGAACTCAATCAAATTTAAGCGGTCCTCCGC